TCAAAAAATTTCTCTAAAGACTTGTGTGAAGTTTAAAATTACTTGAAGGCAATTATTAAATTTTGAATAAGATATTTTACAAACGAATTTGCAATGTTATTTTTGAATTAGATGTGCACAAATTTTTTCAAATTATTTTATTATTCGAAAATATAATTTTGATTAAAATCTGATTAGATTGAATTTTGAACACGTAATTCTGCATATTGCGCTATATTACAAGTAAATAATTTATACATATAATTTTGTTAAATGATTTAGTGAGTTAAAAGAAAAAGAACCATAGATTGTATAATACGACTTACACAAAGTTATCAAAAACTTATTTTTCAGCCAATAGTCCGGAAATTATCAGATCAGATTTATGTCCATGCAGCAATGTCAAACAATTTTATTTTATTTTATTTTTCATATTTTTTCTGCAAATTTAAAAATAATGATTATTCTTTGTCTTCCATCCTTGTTTTAAAAATCCGATTTTTGTATTTTTCACCATCATAGGTTTGTGTTCGCTTTCCACTTGATTTTGCTATCAATTTTTAGAAACAATTGTGTTTGCTTTTATTTCTCCACTCTTTTCATCTCATTTTTAGAGATATCATCAGATGTAGTTTTACTACTGTCTCACTTTTTTTATTGACATCCGTTTAAATTTTTCTTAGTTTCAAGAATTATGTTAGTTTCATGGATTTTTTTTGATACCTTGATTTTATAAATTTGGAAATTTGGAATTTCTTTTCAACAATTTTGATTTTGAACTTCGAACTAGCATATAATTATTTTTTAAGATTCTATGCAGCACGATTTCACCCCTTTAGATTCGTGTATATAAGTAAAAATCTTACACCTGAATTCATTTACACCATTTTTAGCTATTTCATCCAATTATCATGTTATTGCATCTTATCATAATATATTCATGAAATATTTTTTGTGAAAAAAAACATATTTTTTCATTTATGTAACCTAATATTGAATGAGCCAAGTGGTCATTGACATAGTTTCATCTTTAAATATCAAATTACTTACAAGAACTATTGCACTCTAGCATATCAAACTTTTCTGCATTTTTTTTTCAATATCTGTTTTCTTTAAATCATGATTTGAAGTACATCATCACTTATTTTTTGTTCAATGATCGTATACATCTAACAAATAAAAAAATTTCATTTCATGTAAAAACATGTAAGTTTTCAATATGCACACAAGACCATAAAAAATTTGAATTTTTAAGGATTAATTTGATAAAATGATAATATTACACCAGAATTAAAATACTTTTGAAATCAAATGTCAGGTAGAAATTCCTCTATTATAATAAAAATATTATTATGATCATAATCTAAAATCCATTTATCTATCTATATCATTATTGAAATGAAGTGCATATTTCATATCTTTTGACATGAAGTATAAATTTAGCATTAAACATGTCATTCTACTATTTTATTTTTCAATATATTTAAAGAAAATTTGAATATTTTACGAAAAAAAACTTACATCATATTGTCATCTTTTAAAAACTTCCAACGAAATTCAATGTTCAAATCTTAAGATCTAACTTCAATTTAAATATGATTTGTGAAGATGTTTGACCATTTGTTTGCCTTCGAGGTTCACATTCATAGCTCTCTTTGATATAATAAAAGATGAGTAATGTGACTTCATCAAGATTTTACTAAGAACAAAGTATAATTATATTTCACCATGCCATACAAAAAAATTATAAAATAAAAAATAAATTCAATTAACACACCTTAATTAATACATCAATTAGTTCATCAAAATTTAACGAATAATGATGTCTCATTGTTCAAAGTAATTTTCTAGTTGGATAAGATGAAGACAACTGATATGAGGATTTTTTTTTCAGTTTCATAGCATTTGCTATTAATATAAATTTCCAATATCATGAACAAGCTAAGTCAACTTTTTTTAATTTTTTTATGAGATGGTATTGTTAATGAGTAACCATTGCTTAACAGGAGCTGCTTCAGGTATTGAAATCGTTTTTCGCGTGCGCCTCGGCAGACCGCGTTTGGATCAGCGAAGGTTCACTTATATTACATATTTGTAGATAATGTCTATTTATTTAAAGTACCTTTGTTAAGTGAAGAGAATTAGTTTGACAAAACCAAGAGATGTGCTTCGAAGGATTGAATTATGATCATTTGTAAATTTTGTCAATCTTTCTATGGAAAATTTTGGCTTTTCTGAAGCCCAAAAATAAAAATTGTATGCAATATTTAATTGGATGTGTCAATTGTAATTAATCTCATGAAATTACTTATGAAGAATTTTTTTTGGATATATTCGATCAATTTCTGGTTACAAGTACTGAATTTTGAAAGTAAACATCGTATATGAATTTCTTTATTCCATTCATACCAATCTTGAGTCCATTCAGTCGTTACTCTAACCGTAAGTTCCAAGTGCCGAAGGCAGGGCTAGTGACTTTGGTGAAGTCGTAACAAGGTAGCCGTACTGGAAGGTGCGGCTGGATCACCTCCTTTTTGGGGAGAGCTAATGCAAAAATGTCATCACTTTTTCAAATTTTTTTAAGATAATTTCATGCGAGATCATAAAATTTTATTATAAAAATTCATTGCATTGAAAGAATTTCAACACTGAGTGAGGTGAAATAATCAAAGATTGTGCGTATCAAGCTGTAAAAAGATTGAATCGATAAGATTGTAGTATCAATTGAGCTTTAAGAATAAAATATCTCCTTAAAAAATTGACATCTTTCATTACCAACATCTGTAAAAAAAATCAAGGTTTCTGTGTAGTATAGATAAAAGTTATGAACGAGTTAAAGTGTTAGACCAGTGCTGATACAAAGATGCTCAATATGCCGTAGAAACTACTACAAAGATGTCAAAATAATTGAAGCTTTGCTTGTAATAATACATAAGCTCTAAGAAGTGAGAAAAGTACTATGAAGATGTTCACAATAAAGTGCTCCTAGGAATAAGCTCAAAGTGGCGAAAATGTGACTTTACGAAAAGCCTTGAAGAGGAGAAAAAGCAATGATATCAATAGTACTAAAAGTGGTGATAAAGACTGCTTCAAAGAGAGTCAAAGTGGTGATAACTTGCTAGTAAGAAAGAACCAGAATTAATAGTGAATACTTGCTCTGAAGTGACACAAATTGAAATAACAAAAACTGATACAGGGAACCAATATTCAAAGAGTGTTTGGAAGTAAATCAAAATTTTGCAACTACATTTTTTTTACAAAACTTGACATTCATATTTTTTGTATTTATTTAAGATATATTCTCGAATTTTAATTTTGAAAGCAGTATTCATAAAAGATTCACAATACAAGATAAATTTATGATAATAATATTACTTATGAATACATGTAGAGTAATTATTTAAAATATGTGACTTTTGAAAGCTAAAAAGCTATGACTAATAAAGAGATAAAATATTGGAGAATTTATTTTGATGAAAAACATATAAAGAAAAATTTTTTTTGAAGCAAATAAATTAAAAATTATATGAAATAACAAAATTAAATCTAAGATTGTATGATGGTAAGGTTGAATTGTGTGAAATATGTTAAATTTTAAATGGGCAAGTTTGGAAGAACATAAAAGAATTCATACACATATGAAAAACTTTTTCTAAAATTTTGTTTACATAATCTTACTTGGATATATCATCTTCATTTTCATGAAAAACATATTTTACGTTTTATTTATTTTGAAAATATAGAAAATTTTCGACTATTTTAATGCTATACGCGCGTAGCGTTGTATGGTGTTCTGCCTTTTTCTGGAATCTGGAGTAATTTTCAAATTTCATGTCAGTGGTTTTGTTGACGTTTAGAAGGATTTAGGAATTCACAAGCGAGGTACGGGGTTTGTTTGAAGAAAATTTGACTTTTACAAGGATTTCGGAATTCACAACTACGGGTTTGTTTTGGCAAAATTTTGAGGTTATGTCATACCAAAGATAAGAGCTCAAAGGCCCGGTAATCAAACTTGTTAATGGGCCATTTTGTATATGGCGAGAAAGAAACTGGCTATCTTCTTTGGTACACGCCTGAGAGTCAATTCTTCTACTAATATCAAACCAAGCTAATACGACTGCAGGCTAAAACAACCCCGACCGTATGACTGTGGGCCGACGGTATACGGTCACCGTCGTGACGGTGTCTCCTTTGTCACCGTCACGTCGAGAAATCACCGTTCGAGCGCGCACCCTCTGGCATTCAAATTCGAGACATTGAAATACGATGTGAGACACGTGTCGGCGCGATGGAAAGCGACGCGAGCCCGTCCCGGCTTGAGGCAAGACAAGCCGAAGCCCCGAACGCCGAGCGAGCAGCGCAAGCCAAGGCAGCAGCTCGCAGGAAGCTCTACGCTCGTCTGTCCGATCGGGGCACGAATGCGAATTGCGAATTGCGAATCACACGAACAACATGCTCTTCGGGGGCTGGCATTCCCCGCAACAAGGGTTGCAGAATAGCCATCGATTAGGCAACCCGCAGCTCACCATGCAAGAATGTGTTCACACATCGCAGGCGACCGTACGTGGAGAGAATCATGAAGTACTAATCAATGAAGTAACTAAAGAGAATCATGGCAGCGGAAGCCTATGGGAGTAACTGCCCAAGTCTGTCAAGCGGAATGTCACTGAGTTTAGTTGAGCGTTCAAAAATCACTGATTCGGGTTTGAGTTACGTAAGTAAACGAACATTACAATATGTCAGGGCTTAAGAAAAATACAAAGTTTTGTTACTCAAGACGTGCCAAGTGCATGGAGTGAAACTGTCACTTGCCGCTTTTGGAGAGATTTTGATGTTTTGTTTGCTGGAAATTGTGGAGAATGGCCACAAAATCTGGTTCGACAACAGAGTGTAACAGGATTTTTTATTTTTTTTGAGTCCGAAAGTAACCTTCAATCTTTTCCGTTCCTCTGGACAGATTGGAATGATTTTCTTTGACCAAGTGAACGGGGAAGCTACTCTTCGTTGTGTTAAGAAGAGTTCACGGTTTATAGGTTATAGTTCCCGAAAAATCCTTGAGAGTGGGAGTGGAACCAACAAAGTGCACTAACCTGAGATCGTAAAAAAAAAAGCACAGCAATATTCTGACTGTAAGATCAATCCAATCATCATCGGGGTCCAGATGGTTGTCTTGATATTCAATCTGGTTTGCCTCTTGAAATCGGCCCAACATGCCCATTCAGACTCTTGTCACTGCCATGTCCCTAACTGCCGATTGTACAATAAGCCTTGCAGTTTAGAGAATGGAGAGCCCAGATCAGCGTATAAACCTCTGTTTCCAAACCATCTATCCACACCTTATAAAAAATCGTTTTATACTTTTGCTGCACGACGGTTGCCGATGTGTTCCCGATCGGGTACAGTCTTAGCCTTGCAGCTGCAAACTTTCAAAATTTCGCAGGAGAGAAGCTCTTCAGCGCGGTTCATACCCAGTTCATTACGATGGTTAGAAAAATCTCGCACTCCAAATTTTTTTAGACGACCTCCAGAAGGTTGAGCGTGAACATTAACTCAAACCAACATTAAGAGCGCATCGATTGAAAAAAGCAACTAAACACGATTGATCTCCGACTCATCGATGGCGGATCCTTAAGACCTGGTGTTTTACACCTTCCGGTCAGCTTGGAACATACACTATCGATTGTCAGCTGATGCACCGGATTAATACATGATTCTATATACTTCCAGCAGTTCGTAGACAAGACTAACACTCAAACTGTAGTGGAAGATGGTGTTAGAAACCGCTACGCGTAAAGAAAAGTTTTTCGTTTTGTACACAGTCACCGAACGTGATGTTTCTCGTCTTCAAAATGGCGCTCATACTCCTCGGAATCTGACTCTAGACATAAGACTCCCACACACTCAAGCTGAACAAACTGCCGCACTCCAGCCTGAAATACCACAAGCAGAATCACCATTTACATGGTCGATCTTCGAGCAGCCATGTAGCGTAAGTTTGATTCACAGATTCAGCACTGCTTGCATACATCGATGAGCAAATGATCGATTGTGAATGAGGACGATTCAACGTCTTGGATTCAGTAACGTCGTCGGTGAAACGAATGATACTAGTTTTATTGCATTGCGCCTCTGGGCCTCTGTCGTGGCTCTGAAACAGGCAGGTTATTGAATCGATGATGGAATGAATAAGAAGCTCCTTCGAGCAGAGTTGAAGCACAATTGCGTGTTCGATCGATGCGACGAACATCGAGCTCTTAATTCTTCTAGCGGTCCAGCGGCTATCGAGCGCAAATCTTCCAGCGTAAGAAGCCCAGCACGCGTGCGTGCACGCTATAGCGGCAGCTCGTAACATTAGACCTCGACGAATTTCAGTAACCTTCCCTTCCCTTGGAGGTCACAGGAAACAAATCGCGAGGAGCCACCTCCGAGCTCGCCGCCGTCACAAGAAATGCTGAACGAAAAGACCTGCCGGCCTCGTCTTGGGCGCGAAAAGCGAAACCCCCGGGTGACGGTCACGGTGAAACCCACTGGATGACGGTGACACACGTCTGCCGTCAGCCCGGAGAGCATACAGTCGGGGTTGATCTAGCCAAAGGCCTAATACGCCGCAGCTCCGGTACGGTCCACAGATGCGCGCGTCCCGACACATTGCGCGGCAGGGCGAGCGACAGAAGTCTCCCGCGCGAGCCTCTGGGCCCAGTCAAGCGGAAAGCGCCAGTATATCGGTTCTTTCATCGACCTCGACCTCATCACACTTGGTTTGCCAAACGTACCAGCTGAGCTAGCCTCGCACACATACTACATGCTATTTATAGATATAATGTCTGTTGTCAAAACTCCGGATCAAGTTCTAGATACAGAACAATCCTGGAGGTCACCAATCCCGACAGCGCGGCGACCTTAGCCCCCGCCAATCTGTTTACTGTTTCAGATCCGGATGCATTCACCTGGTCGGAAGGAGTCACCGGCGGGAAGGGGTTTGTTTTAGCAAAATCTGGGTTCATGTCTGATGTTGACATGAGCTCAGAGAGGCCCATACAGGAGTCGAACCAGTACCTCCGCGTTGAAAGCGCGACGCTCTGACCAACCGAGCTAATGGGTCTTTTTGTCCTGAGCTAGAAAACAACTTGTTTCATACTGCTCCCTATGTTCAGGGCCACCTGGCATCAGGTGACGATCACCAACCTGATCTCAGACAGGTCGATGCAGTATCAAACAGGAAATGCCCAGCCGTATGTTGTACTACCAATTACAAACTGCTGACGCTACATTCCCGAAAACAGTCGGTAATACCAGCTGCGGGGATTTCGCTGGTGTAATTCAATTCAGACCGAAATTTAGCCGACGAGTGAAAAAATCTCAACTGGCCCATACAGGTCTCGAACCTGTGACCTTCGCGTTATTAGCACGACGCTCTAACCAACTGAGCTAATGGGCCATGTACATTGTTAAACCAATATCTAAATAAGTAGTTATTTCAAATTCCGAGCCAACTTCCAGATCCCACTGGAGGTCATGAATCCCGAGAGCATTCGATGGGAAGCGCGGCGGAAAAGGTTGATAAACATTTGCAATTAAATCAAAACTATGCTGAGAGACAAAAAGGTTGATAAAAATTTTCCATAAACATCTTGCTTTATGTTGACTTTTAAAATCAAAAGATCATTTAATTTTGCAATTTTTAATTTTTTAATATTATATTTCACTAAAATCTTGATTTAAGTATGTGAATTTGACAAATTGCTCACACTGGAATTTTAATTTCTCACTCTCCTTAACTTTTAAAATTCTAGATAAGTATTCATCATAGATTGCATCATTTAGAGATTGTTAAAAAAATTCTTCTGATAAATAACTGACAAAATCTTAAAGCAAATAATTTTCAACATCAATTTGATTACTATATGATTACTAAAATTCTATTTTAGATTACTAGATTACTCTATGATCACTATTTAACACGTTTTTAAATTAGAATAATTAGTAAATTTTCTTTAAAATGTCATGAAATTTTCTTTTTTTTAAAAAGTATACGTGTTATATATTTCTCTTATATGTCATATGTTATAAAAGGTATCAAAACTCGTAAAAAATGAGCCTGTTGAAAAATATTACAAAAGTGTTGAAAGCAAGAAATAAAAGAAACATAAAAACACAACATCACATTAAAATCATAGAGTCATTATAAAAATACATTTTATAACCTCTTCGATTTTAATTTTTAAAGATAAAAAATCTGTGACTTTGATGGCATTTTGAACTGTTATTAACATCTTTTTTGATTCACTTAGAATATTATATAGTAATTCAAGTACTTCAAACAATAATGAAAAATATAAAAAATATAAAAAATATAAAAACATTAAAAAGAACATGAAACATTTATCATAGATCCATGACCCTAAAAATATTCTCTAACTTATTAAACTTTCTACTTTAAAATAAAAATGCAAACAAAACACTGACACTGAATTTGATGACATTCTAAAATATGTTTTAACAAATATTTAGTTCAAACAAATGTGTTATGTAACAAGTGATAAGAAAATTAATTCTGAATCCATCAGATTAAAATCTGTATCTATCATAGATCTACATAGGCACGGGTCATGTTACTGCAGAATGTCATTGCACACTTTCTCAAAATACTCGAAGTGAAGTGATCATTTATAAAACATTACCAAAACATTTATAGAATTAAAAAAAGCTCACGATTCTCGCGAAACAAATTACAAGTAACCTAATTCATATTTCATGGAAGAGATTAAAAGTAAACTACAATCACTTCGAGTTTCAGAATTCCTGGTATCTTCGACTGCTTGGTTACGGTCGGGATTCGAAACTGAACTACAGGACTACGAGGTTCCTGGCCTCAATGTAGGCACTTGCGGAAGTTTGCGTTAATAAAGATTAATGCAGAAACGGTTCTGTTTGTTATACCTTCCATGTAACTAAGCATTCAAAACATAGGTTTGAAGTTAAAATTACTTAATTTATTAATAAATTATTTAGTTTATTAATAGAAGAGGTGGCTGAGATACAAACTCTCTGTACTAAATGTACATTTGTCGCCAATGAGCGAATATTCTCACTTCACGTACTCTACATGTACTCCGCGTGTCTCAAGTTGATGTAAACCATATTTACACGTGATTTAATCCTAAGATCATGAAGTTGTAAAAGTGCTACGGACTCGTCTTTTTCTTAGTCTGTTCTCTGTCCCGTACAGTTGCAATGAGAGACGTTATCTGAGTTCTTTTCTATGGATTTCAATAGTTGCATGGCTCGATGACTGCGCAATTCTTCCTCCAGCCGTAAGGGTTGCTCGCTGGAATGTTGCCCATTTTGATCATGGCCATTCCAAACTCGAACAGGAAGGAGTACGGGTCCTGCACAGCTTTGATGGCGTATTCCACTCCCAAGGGATCGCTCATCATCGCCACGTCCGAGTCCATCAGGCCCTTGCGGGTCAGAAGGTCCAAGTAGTGAACGGCGTCGAATGTGGCGTTAGTGGAATCGGCCCCTTTGAAGAGGAGAGGGTCTTGAGAGACTCGGCGAATTCCGGGTCCATCGATGGGTCTGTGATATTCTGACCTTGAAAGTCCCACAGGGGCTTGAAAAATGCTCCGCAGTGGAGTTGTCCGATAGAGTGCCCGCCTGCATGAGGACACACACAAGTCTGCGTTACAGACCTTGGAGAATCTTGCAGATGGGGGTCTTTCATGATTCCGCAAGCCGTGTGTTCACTTCGAGGCTTTGAGAGACAGCAAAACCTCGTTGGAGCTTACATGCTTCCGCACATTCTCCCAAGTCGTCCCTGACATTACATGCTTCCCTCGCGACAAGAGAACTGGACATGTCACGTGCTCTAATATGATCTGATATAACTTGGAAACTTGGAGATGAAGGTCCTTCACGATGCCGCGAGGCGAGTGTTCACTTCGAGGCTTTGAGAGACAGCACAACCTCGTTAGACCTTACTTCCTTCCACAATCATCTCAAATCGTCCATGCTTCCCATGCGACTGGAGTTGTCACCGTGCTCTAATATTATCTGATATGACTTGGAAGATTGTCAAGAGACTGCAGTCACCCACCTGAAAGGACGATCATGTCCTTGGTGTCTAGTCCAACTTTGGCGAAAGTGGCAACTAACTGGGAGAAGTTGAACGTACGGAATGGAAGACTGGTGTTGACCTCGTCTGCAACTGAAGATCGTCCGTCGATGCGGCCCAGAAACACTGGCCAGCTCAAGCCTCCGAGCTGCGCAGTACAACCAGATGTTTACTTTCACGAATCAAACAAAGGTTCTGCTCGGGCCGACAATATATGATCTGACTCCGTTATACTCGATACTCCCACTGAGCCACACGAAGTAACTTGTAACTAGAGCACTGAAGTCTGAGCCTTTTACCGGAAAATGTTGTTACGAGCCAAATCATCATGGTAGAACCACTGGATCAAAAAACTCTTCCTTTTTTAAATGCGAAAAATAGAGAACTACAGTACAGATTTCATGAGCACAATAACTCACTTTCTGTATGTTCTTTTAAGTGACGAGACTAAGTCAGATGAATCTGCTCGAAAGAATCAGAAATCAGGGCAAATCTAATTTGATCGAAATGAAGACAATAATGTTTTGTGTAATAACCTATCTTCAATACAGCGTAAATGTATGCCAATACACAATGTTTAAACATTTACGTTCGGGAGAAAAGTAACTTTCATTGATTAATTGATCATTCATTAATGCCAAAAATGTCAGAATTAAGGAGAAAAATTTGCCAGAATTACCTTAATTCTGGCAAACCTGGCATTTGCCAGATTTTCCACGGTCTGCCTTAGCGTGAAGACCGTTGCGGAGGAGACTCGAGCTGATTCGATGCACTCTGTCGGCACAGACCCTCGAATCTCTCCAGCTTGCAACTTTGGAACTTGATCCCCAAGCCTTCGTCTCGGTGCATGAAAAACAGAGTCTCAACTGCGTAACCCAGCCAGCCGCACACGCAGACGTGAACTCCTGCGCCCTTAACACAGTGGGTTGGGCCTGCACAACGGATCCCGCGCGTCCCATACCCCATCTACATCAGCAGCTCCCCTCATATTAACCATGGCTCTCAACGCCTATCTGAGCAGCACGGCTACCCTCCTCTGCCCTTCTCCCTCCACCCACTGACCTTCCTTGCAGAGCGCGTTTCGGTCCTCACGCTCGACGGACGCACTATGGTCGGCATCCTGCTCTCCTGCGACGGGAGCATGAACATCGTCCTCCAAGCGGCCGTTGAGCGCATCATTCGGCCGTGCGACGAAGAAGTCCCGAGCGAAGAGGTCCCGCTAGGATTGTATATCATTCGGGGGGATAGCGTGGCGGTGGTGGGGCGGGTGGATGAGAACGAGAACATGACATGCTTAAGAGAGTGAGGGTGGGGACAAGGGAAACTTGGCACAGATCTCAGATTGGGGAGCGCTTACTCGTCACTTTGTCCAGTGGGATGGTGGCAAACTGGAGAGTGGAAGATGAATTATGAAGGGCTCGAGGCGCAGAGAATGGCGCAATATTGAAGACAATTGGCCATCCGCCATCGTTGGATACACGACAGCTCGAGACACGATGCTACCCACAAAACGAAACACATGCATAGAGTATGTTTTTTTATTCGATCTCTCCATGCTCCTTTCGCTAACCTAATTGACTACCGTTTATTCTACATCATGGATTGAGAATGAAAAGCCAGAAGATAAAAAGATGCCGAAACTGGTTTAGCGAACCATCCCACCATGCTTACCGACCCTACTATTGAATACTCCTTCCCACCCCCTGCCCAATGCCCACGATAGTTTTATGATCAGTCGGATTCGCTGCCGCCTCGTATAGCACCGACACGGGTTCCCTGTTGAGCTTCATAAAATCCCCCTTGAACGCCAGATAGCTAATCCTCGTCTCCTCCTCTTCCCCATTGCTCCAGTTGTCCTCGAAGAACAATGCAAGACTTCTCGTTGTACTGAAGTATGCCCTCTTGACCGGAATCTCCTGCACCTCGTTTGTCTGGCTGATTTCCAGCGTCTGCGTAGGCACTTTCTCGCTGGCGGTCTCGAAGTCAATTGAATCTTGATTGAGGAAGACTTTCAGCGTCTTGGGGGAATCCGAACTGTTGGACGTCCGTATGAGAATCGAGTGTAGGCGCACCTGCCCGGTGAAAGGTACAACCATCAGTAACTGCTCATCTGCTGAACTCTTCAGCTCGGGCTCGGGCTCCAGTCGTTGTGCCCATGTCTTCTGGCAGATTGCGCGACCGCTGTTCGACTCGTCTTCGTTGAGCGTGAAGAGCTTGCTGAAGTCGATTTGCTCGTATAGGATGTTCTGGAGCGCCGGCGTGATGTCATCTGTATGGTCGTGCTCATGACCGTCGCCGTGGTCGTGATTGTGATCGTGGTGCTCGCTGTGGCAGTGTGACATATTGGCAGGAAGCTTGACGAGTGGGCGTGGCGGGGCTCCGGGTTCTGTTAATCTAACGTCGAAGAAATCTTTGTAGAGCAAGATCTCAATCTCAGAAACAAGGAGTGCGTACAAGTACCTGCAAGTGCTATGACGTGCTTTCGTTGATCGCAAAAGGAAGCTGAGACAAGACGAACATCCCCATCCCCATCCCAACCACAAACCCCCTACAAATCCCTAATCAGCTTCACAACCTCTCATACCCACGCGGGCGCACCAGCACACTGCCTGGCCTCCTTCGCGCGCCTCGGCGTAAACCTCACTAGCATCAACACGCGGCCGAGCGGGCGCGGAACTGGAACTATAGTTTCTTTGTTGAGATTCGGGGGCGGAAGGGAGGGGATGGAATAGGGAAGGGAACTGCAGTTGATAATGCACTCAGGGATGTGGAAAGCGTGTGTCGAGGATATAGATGGTTGGGGAGTTGGCGGAGTAGCGAGGAAGTCGAGAAGCAAGGAATAGAATAGGGAGTGGGAGTGGTAAGGGAGAGTTCGACGTAGACAACAAGAAAGGAAAGGAAGGATGTGTGCATCTAAAAGAGAGAGCTCAGAAGGGAAGTTTTAGTTAGGAGCAGAAGTACTCCGTAAGGAGCATAGCATTAGCAGATTCCTTCCTTCCAATAAGCTTGCTTGCTTCTTTCTAGGTGGTAGTACGAAAGCATACAAGGAACACGAAGGAAAGAGTAGATATCGAATTACACGTCAGTCAGCGAGTTTTTAAAACAGAGTTCAAGTCGCTAGTAGGCACATACTCCTCCTATAACATGTACAACATGACATGTACGCACCGGTGTCTAGTAACAATGTTTATAGGTTGAAGCCACAGTTCACGTTCATCCAACATATCAACTTATATTCCGAATAGTTGTTACAACATGATCAAACCACGAACATTTTTTGCTTTTTTAATCGAAAGTGGTCTGTATAGAGAGAAGACTCTAGATAGTTCGAGATCTTACTGGGTACATTTGGCTTGATGCAACCAGTGACCACGTGCTCACCATGGGGGCACTGATGCACCCGCCCTCGTTCTAGATGGCATTGGGGCGGAGCTGTAGGTTGTGTCGTTGTCGTTGTCGCCGTCGTCTCAACCCCGTCCCCGTCCCTCCGCCTCAGCACGGGCGGTAAAAAGTTTTCTGGCAGAAAGGCTTTGATATATATGACGTAAGGTGGCTCCACAGGACCTGCGCGTGTATATGTGCGGCAGCTGGTACCACTCTGCTTGAACGGAAATCGGACACAACTATCTCAAAATATCAGAAACTTTGGCCTGATTTACACAGCCCAATAAAAAACTAGATGACCTTATCAGGACCGTATAGTTCCACCAATGATTAATGGCTGAAGTTGAAGAGTGGTTACGTAATGATTTTGTTCTATATGAGGAAGTAATATTCACACTTCTGTCTAGAGGAAATGAAACACCAGCTGACGAAACGTCGAACGTGGGAATCCTCGGGGACTAAGGCCGCTACCACATGACGGGCAGCCGGCACCAAGCTCCTGGCTAGAAAAAATCCAGGTTTTTGTATGCCTCAGTCGGCCAGCTGGAGACAATCCGGAATTCGGAGTGAAAAGGGAGAAATGTCTCTGCTAGATGCAATGTAGCGGGAATAAATCTTTCGAGTAGTAACTCATGAAAGCTTGAAAATACATGTGGAGTCGATAAATTCCGGAAAACCGGGATTTCCAGTCGAAAGTGTCTGGTAGTTCGGAGCAGTCGATTTCTTTGCCACCTAGGATATGTCAAATTGCCCCTCCTTCCCATGTGGTAAAGGGGGAGCTCGCCTGCCAATGCCAGGCGAGGATTCATTGTCGTGTGATTTGGCCCTAAGATTCATCGCTTGCATGGCCGTCATTCTGATCAGCTGGATGGGAACAGGAGGAACAGCTGGGTGGGGGAGTGTACACTCTTGGAAAGCGGATTTGAAATGTTCTTAGTCGTGAACAAGGACCTTAGGAGCTCTCAGAATCACCCACTGTAAAACCTCAATATATTAAAAAGGAATCTTGTTTGATTTTCTACCATTTCAATAATCCTTGTTACCTGTAAATTTAGCATTTGATTTTCTTTTGTAAATTCAAAATATTATGTCCATTTCTCTGAGATTAATGATCGATTTTTGTAAAATATCTGTACAGTTTGATTGACTGAAATATCGACATATTTGTTTGAAATATGCAAATATGTAAAACGCCCTCCGTACAACTTTTCTTAAGGATTCCATTGCATGCCATGCATGGTGGATACACCACGGTGTTGAAATCCGATTAAATATAAGAATGTTCGTACTGATATCACCTTCGTATTTGTTTCCAATTATTTCATATGTTGCAATCGTAGCAATCACCTTCCTCTATGTATAATCTAATCCTTGATCTCTATTACCAAATCAAACTCTTCTAAATCATGCCCCGTATCAGAAGCAATAAAGCTCTAAAACATAATGCATAATTCAAATACATTGTGAGGAGATGAGAGCCCTGAAATTTTAAGTATTTTAAAACGTTGGAAGTTTGAATTCTTGGGAAAAAATGTTTACATATTCTGTGAACTATGCAATTTAGAAGAAAGCTCATAAGATGTGGTGCACAACTTTTTGATAAGAACTCTATGTGGAAATTGATTAATTCTCTGTTCATCAACAGAAAGACTTCTCTGATGATTCTATCCTCTCTTTTCGATGGTTGATGGCGAGTTGTGTGGATTTATTGATTCTCTGTTCATCAACAGAAAAGACTTCCCTGATTATTCTATCCTCTTATTGCCACTCTATCCTCTTTCTAAATTGGTGCTGTCGTGTACCACTCAAGATATAAGGTAACCCGCAAGAGTTTTAAAAGACGATTAAATCAACGTAGACGTGTTGGCGCAACCCGGTCAACCGGTCTTATCAATGCCTTTGTTGTGTTGAAGGTCAGCATTATATATGGCGTCGTGCTATTCAATTAAGTTCTGGATCAAATAAAGAATCTACATGTAGCAACGGTGAAGTAAGAAGTAAGAAACTGTCAAGCTTTAAGTCAAACTTAATAATATTTACAGGTGCTATCAGTCATAAGCAGGCATGGTTATAATAGTCACTCGCCTAAATTACCTAAATATGTTTAATTTAGTCTCATTAAAAAATTTAATTTAGACTAATTTAAGAAAAAAATTTAAATTTAGACTAATTTAGTATTTAGAGAAAATTAATTTAGACTCTTCAAAAATTGATCTAAATTAATTTGGTCTTGTTAAGTAAAAATTATTTTGATCATTTTCAATACAAATTTTTTAAATAATATTTGTGAACCAAAATTGTCCATTGAACATAACATAGTCAAAACAAAAATTATTTTGACTTTATGATAACTTTTATTCAAAAATTTTCATTACAAAATTTTTATCAAACATTTATCAATACTCGAACTGTTCTAAGAACAAAAATTGTTTTGTCTGCAAAACTCCTTCTAATCCAAAGTTTGATAATCTTTTTTGAAACAAATTTTTTTGCCAACGTAAAATTGAAAAATCAGACTCTACCGTGCTGGTTCCAGGAAAAAGCGTCGCAATTACACCACAATATTCCATCAAATTTGGAAATCGAGCACCCAAAGAAGACCAACCGTCCTTGAAACTTGAACTACTGGAAAGCGAATCGATAATGCTCTTAATCACTGGCTCACATCTATGAGCATGGATTAGAGTTTTGTGCTCATCAGCTATGATATCAATCTGATCAGATGAATAAGAATGCTTCAATCGAAAAGCATGTTGCCGTATCTTTCGGATAAAATCTGCTGCAGATAGCTTGATGAGTTAATGTGGTAGCACTGGGGATATAGAACCAAAATCAATCATTGCGTTGTTGTTTCGATCTCGATAAGCACAAATTTCACGGATTTGATAGCAGGCTGTGACATAAACAAGAGCGATGTCTCGTTGAAGATCGCTTAGATCGCTTTCAGTGGCTTCGTTAAGTAAGGATTCAAACCAAGAAGCCAGACCAATGAGAAATTCTTGAACACTTGACAAAGCGACCGCATAATGACCAGCTATGACGTGAGTTGATAGATCAACATTCGCAATTGATTCTGCGTTAAGCGGTCCAATTATTGCAACATCGGCAATGAAAGTTGCCACAAGGTTATCCAATGCATTTTGCTGCTGAAGTACAAGAGTAGTTAACCCTTGAATAGTACGAAGAGCAATAGCTGCTTGTGTGATGAAATGATGCATAGAAAGAAGTGCAACCCACCAAAGTCGAGATGGAGCGGAAGCTGGTTGTTTTGAGTCGATATGAACAAGTAACTGAGTTCGATGGATTTTGAACCAAGTGATAACTTTTTCCGTCGAAAGCCAACGATTGACAACACGAGGGCATGTAGTTTGCATTTCCGCGATCAAATTTTGTTGTCGTGTTAGGTGAGTAATGAATCCAGTCATCATTGAAAAAAATTGTTCTTTGATGACATTGTTCATTAACTCTTCCATAACAAGATCTAGTTGATGGGCTCCGCACCAAATCCGATTTAAAGAACAATCCTTGTGCATCACGTCGGCAAGGCGTGTACCAATCCCAGTAATCCGTCCAGTCATATTGCGAGCCCCGTCAGTTGTCAAACCAAGAAGACGATTTGTCCAATCAGGACAAAGCACTGTCAAAAATTTGCTCACCATTGTGAACATAACTTCACCCGTGTGCCGATCAAACATCGGAAGTGCACAACCATGCAAGTTAACAATCGAATAATAGTCGCGAATGAAAATCCGGAACCGTATGTCAAGAAATGAAGTGCTCTGATGTGTTGCCGAGTCGAGTGCTAATGAAAATCCCCACGAACGTCGAAGAAGTTTCGCAATCTTTTGAAGATTGGCAGCGCAGATTACCCGAACAAAGTTACTAATTTCGTGACGAGATTAAGTACGTATAGCAGGATTGCCCAAAACATCATATGTACAACCGACAAGTTCGGATGCCATACGAAATGATGTCCCGCAAGATACATATCGCATAGCAAGACGAAACAACATTTTTTTGTCTTGAAAATTGTCACTAAGTAAAAGTAATCTGTAACAACGTCCTTCAATTCAACACGATGAAACAGTGATAATGCACGTGCTTTAGACTTGGTTGCTGCTTGTCGACGTTGAGTTAGTTGGGTACTATTTTTGCCCATACTACCAAACAGATGTACATCTTCTTCATTTTCTACATCACTTTCTTCTTGTTCTTCAGGATTGAACATCATATTGCCGACAATGATATCAACAATATCTCGTTCAATTTCATATACAAGATCTCCTTCATCTTCCAAAGAAGACGGGAAATGGGCTTAAGAGAATTTTTAAATGCAATTGGTCCATCGTCATAAAATGAATTACGATATGAAGAAGTCTCTAAGGTTTGATACACATCCCATTGTTTGGTATGTTGGGTACAAAGATGATGCTCAATATTGTCATAACGAAAAGGCGATTTCATGCTTGCACAGAAGATGC